CCATAAAGCGTTTAATAATTCGGAGAAGTTGCCTAGTTTTTAAATGGGAATCCATACAAGTAACTAGATGTCTTTGATTCAGTATTAGGATGTTTACAACTTCCAGGTTTTCCGCGTTACCAAGGCAACCCGGAGCAGTCTGGGGCGAACAGCCACACATTTGCGTCTATCGGTAAAGACTGCTGGGATTTGTTCAATTACTCATGCTGCATTTTAAGAAATGCCTTGTGCCTATAAACAAGGACAGGACTTGTTTTTTTTTTTTTCCAAATACTTCTGTCTGCATGTCACTCAATGCAAAGATAGAAATCCCCCAGACTAGTTGAGGGAGTTTTCTTTTTGTGTAGTGTGCTGTGAATGTAAATAATGATTTGGGTTAGCAGGTACAGCGGCTGATAGATGTTCATGTCATGGGAGACGCTCTTTAGTTTGGGACTCAGATCAAATGGTTTCTCCTCCCCTTCTGAGTCGAATCAAAGACTCAAACATCTGTCACACAACTGACACGCCACTGTCTAGCCGAATGCTTTGAATTTTGTGTCATGTACAGTGCCTTCCACAATTATTGGCACCCCTGTTTAAGATGTGGTCGAGGACTTTTAAAAATTCTCCCTTTTTTTTAAACAACATAGAATCCAAATGCAAAAAAAGAGAAAAATCCAACCTTTTATTTAAGTACATTACTTTGGTGGTAAAAAAATTAAATTAAATTTTTAATTTTAATTTTTCAATTAAATTTAAAAAAATAAAAACTTCAAATCATGTGTCCCACAATTATTGGCACCCCTGATGTTAATACTTTGTACAACCCCCTTTTGCCAACAAGACAGCACTTAATCTCCTCCTATAACATTTCACAAGATTGAAGAACACAGAGAGAGGGATCTTTGACCATTCTTCTTTGCAAAATCTTTCTAGATCATCCAGTATCCTGGGCTCTCTCTTGTGCACTCTCCTCTTTAGCTCACCCCACAGGTTTTCGATTGGATTGAGGTCTGGGGACTGAGATGGCCATGGGAGGACCTTGAGTTTGTGACTGAACCATTTTTGTGTAGATTTTGCCTCACGTTTTGGATCATTATCCTGCTGAAAGACCCAATGACGACCCATCTTCAGCTTTCTGGCAGAGGCCATCAGGTTTTTATTTAAAATGTCCTGGTAGTTCAAAGCGTTCATAATGCCATGCACCCTAACAAGGTTCCCAGGGCCTTTGGAAGAGAAACAGGCCCACAGCATCACAGATCCTCCACCATACTTCACGGTGGGCATGAGGTACTTTTCGGCATACACATCTTTTGTTTTACACCAGATCCACTTAGAGTGTTTGTTGCCAAAAAGCTCAATCTTAGTCTCATCCGACCAAAGCACACGATCCCAGATGAAGTCCCAGTGCCGCTTGGCAAACTCCAGACGTTTACGTTTGTCAGTGTTAGTGAGAAAAGGCTTTTTCCTAGCATGCCTCCCAAACATCTTGTTGGCATGTAGAGAGCGTCTGATGGTTGTTTTGGAGATTTTGTGACCCCAAGATGCCACTATTTGATGCAATTCTGTGACAGTGAGCTTAGGACTTTTTTTTACTTTTCTTAGCATCCTCCTCACAGTGCGTTGTGGCAAGATAAACTTGGGACCTCTTTCAGCCTTGTTTGTCACCGTTCCTGTTGTTTTAAACTTCTTAATGATTCCTCTAACTTTAGATATGGGCAATATAAGGTGAGTGGCTATTTTCTTGTAGCCATTGCCTGACTTATAAAGGTCATCACACATCTGCCTTACTTGAATGGTGTGTTCTCTTGTCTTTGCCATGTTGACAAATGGGTAAGAGAATTAGGCCTCTGTGTCATGTCATATTTATACCCCAGGGAAATAGGAAGTCATGAATTACTAATTAAAAGTTCCTAGATATCCTGACCAACATTAGCAACTACAGAAAATATATATTTTTTTTAAAAATCAATTACATTTTTCAGCGGAATTGTTAGGGGTGCCAATAATTGTGGGACACAGGATTTGAAGTTTTTATTTTTCTAAATTTTTACATTTTTTTTACCACCAAAGTAATGTACTTAAATAAAAGGTTGGATTTTTCTCTTTTTTTGCATTTGGGTTCTATGTTGTTTAAAAAAAAGGGAGAATTTTTAAAAGTCCTCAACCACATCTTAAACAGGGGTGCCAATAATTGTGGAGGGCACTGTATGTTTTATTTCTATTTTTCATAGCACAAATGCATCATTTCTAGCAAAATAATATAGGCAGAACAGTTATTGTTACTACTATAAAAGTACAACAGTGTAAAAACCTTTTAGCATTGCATGTTTGATAGATTTGAGTGTTCACACTTGAGTTTAATATTGGGAGCTAAATGTTTTTACTATTTAATTGATTAAATATAGGCCTGGTTTACACACACTACCTTTCAAAAATATTTTAAATGTATAATGTCCCAGATTTCTATGTGATTACAATCACAATTGCAGAGCTTCAAGTGCTAGATTGCTTTTTATTGACAAGTCATGCTAGAAACATGCTAGCATAAATGCTAAATAATGTGTTAAATCAGGCTAAAAACACGTTAGCAAATTGCTAATAATAATAGCGACGTGCTAAACATGCTAACAGTGTGTTTAAATCAATCACGGGTGAATCAGCTGGAGAGGCAGAACTCGGCGTTATCGTCGCGCTGATCATATTACATTCTTTCAGCCCCGCAGTGCTCAGTTTAATTGCCCCAGTCTAAATCAAATAGGCTCTGTCTCCGGAAGGGAAGGTGATTTCACGAGTCTGAGGTGTAAATCAAGTGCGGGTTCTTCGGCCCGTTGAGAGGGGATGGACCTGTCACTGTCATCAAACAGTGTGGCAGCTCGGCCTTCAACTTCCTTCTCTTTGTCATAGCAGAAGAAAGCAGGGGCAGGCAGCTGCACATCTAACCTGTCACCACAGTGTGTGTGTGTGTATGTATGTGTGTATTTCCCACCTGCCTACACATTTGAGGCCTGTTGCATGTGACTATTGTGAAGAGATTGGACTGCAGCTGGAAAAGGTCTCTATGGAGGTTTGCTGTAGGTGTCCTGGTTTTGCCAGATCGATCAGGGTCAGGCTTTACTCAGTGTCAAGGCTTCCAAAGTTATGGCATTAAACTTTCATTCTAATTGAAGTTCAGGAAAGCTAACCGAATCCGTCGCTGAGAGCTGTCAAACCGCATCAGTCAGTTAAATGGAGCTCTAAGCCAGTGAATGATTATTAATACGTGTTTTACTGTGACCTTGTAGCAGGCCACAACAGTTCTGTTGTTTTACACTTCTGTCACGCAATGACTTTCCAGAAAGGAGCTTAGAACTATGTTTTTGTGTGTTTGTTTTTCCTCAATGGTTTATGTGTTTTTCGTGTTTTCACAGGGGTCCGAGTTTGACAAATCTAAATCTAAAATTCCCTAAGTGAATACAACGCCAAAGGGGAAATGTAGCGTTCAGAGCAAGCGTGTTGTGCAATTTATTTACTGAATACCAGTGCCAAAATCCGTAGTTTTAAAAACAATTCTTGTCGAGCTATTAAATCACATTCATACTTTATCATAGTCAAATATTTGAGTTATAAAACATTTGCCCCAGCGAACGTTTTATAACTCAAATATTTGACTATGATAAAGGATGAACTCTCAAAGAGAGTTTATTTGTCTGTGGTAACTTGCCTGTGCTGTGATATACGAGGCTTCAGGTATCACTCCATAGAGCCATGTGTGTGCTTACTCTGCAGAGTTTGCCTGAAACAATCCATCACCATCATTCATAAATCCTGAGATATTTGCATTCCTTGGCATCCGATGCAAATGTGCCCTTCTCTTTTTAATGTGTCTTCGTTCTGGCTTGCAATCCCTGCTTATATGAAACGTTTATAAGAATTGAACACTAGAATATTACTCTTTCTGTTTTTCCAGTATATTTCATTATATACTTTCTAAAGGAATATTGCATCCCACAATACAATGATGTGACCTTCAGTTTCGTGTGTGACAAATAAACCAGAAGTAAGATCATTTGTGATCCTTCATACACAATTTAGTTTTGATGCAAAAAAAAAAATAAAAAATAAGCAAATAACTTTTTTTGATAGCTGGGTGTTAAATAAAACATGCTAATTCATGTCATAGCTCTATAAAATTTGTTTCGTAGTAATTTGCTATTTTTTTCCCTTAAAGGGGTGCTATAATACCCTTTTTTTACAAGATGTAAAATAAGTCTTTGCTCTAAATACCCCACAGAAATTTTATTTAGCATATTAAACACACACACACACACACACATCGCCGTGGGCCCGTAATCACTGCTCGCAGCTATATTTAGGGCCCAAACCCTGAAAGGGCGAATAGCATGTTTTTGAGGGTGAGCAAAAACACACTGTTTTTGTGTTTGTCCCTTTAAATGCAAATGAGCTTCTGCTCCCGGCACAGGGGGGCGGAGCTTCGAGAGCACTGAAAATTTCAAAAAACGTTTAGCCTTTTATGTTCAAACCGGAGTCAGACAATGATCAGAGACTCAAGAAGTGACAACATGTAGAGTGCATTTATGTAGCTTATGTGTAGTTATCTTCAAGTCATTTATTCTGTCTTGATAATCTATAAATCTTGTTCTGGGGACCCGGTTTATGTAAATTTTGGAGTTGGTGATGTCACTAACCCTTGAGGAATGTTGTATAGTCCCTACCAGCCGTTTGTTATAGTCCTTAAAAGGCAATTTCTTTCAAAACAAATATCTCCCTCCGCTTTGAACTTTGAGCGTTGGGACTTTGCAGATGTTGTTTATGCTCAAACAGCAACATTACACATTAGCTAAAGTTAGAAAAATTAAATCATAATCAACCACTCCTTTAAAAATAGGGGAATATACTGCACGGTGTACACTTATAAGCCAAAACAATATAACCAGTCACAGGTGAAGCAAATAATGTTGATCATCTCCTAACAAGGCCACATATTAATATCTGGATGCAGGACAAATGGGCAGGAATAAAGATCAGAGTATCGCTGATACGGCAAGGCTTGAGTGTTCCTCCCACCAACAGTGGCCAGAGGAGGGACATCTCGCAACAAACGTGAAGGTCTTGCTGCCAGAGATCACAGGACAACTTGTAGAGTCCATGCCTCGGTGAGTCTGCGCTGTTTTGGCAGCATGCAGAGGACCAATATTTTGGCTCTGTGTATGCTGTACACTTCCTCTCAGTAGCATGCAAAATTTCGATTTGTTCATTGACTGAGCGATTATGTGTTTTCTAAAAACAGGCCTTTCAAGATTATGATCTCAATGTCTTCTGTTTGTGAACTCTGCCCATGTATTTCAGCTCTAAAGCCGAGGGTTGGCGGCCAGGGAAATGTGTTGTGCCAGGGTTGCCCACACCACCGCAGGCAGCGTTGGATAATTAAGCACCAGATTATCAAGTCAACACACGTAAGTAACACCAATCTAAGTGCAGGTTTGGTTTTGTCTCTGTTAATACTGGCCAGCTCTTTTCAGAATGCAAAGACCTTGTGCACATTAGTTGCTCATGGCTCTAATCACAGGTGTTCCCTAATGAGGCTGTTTTATTCACCAGCCTGATCTGAGCACAAAACCAGCTGCCATGCCAGAGTAATGCCCAGAAATAAGGATAATTTATTTCGCAAACCGGCCTGCTAACACAAGCAAACAAGTCGCTATGCTATTAATTGATTGGTGATTCTACACAGCTGGAATACATCAGGGAAAACACATTTTCAAAAGTGGTGAAGTGATTTGACATTGATAAACGAAGATAAAATGTTGAGGAAACTACTTTAGCCAGTCAAACTACAAACTATCAATTGAAGCAGGGGAGTCAGTTTTGAACCATTTGTACCATTTTTTTTGGATGTACTTCATTGTGATGGTTAATTTAGATTGGGATACTTGATTATGACATTGATCTGTCAAATATTTTTATGTATGACAACTCAACTAAATATTTCACTGATTTCAATGGCAACATACAGCCCCTACTTTCATGTTTTCTATATTATGTTGCTGTCTCTCTCTTTTTTTGTTTAAATTAGTGCAAGTTACAGAAGCTACATGGTGGCATCTTAAGAACAATAATCGAATGTTTTCTGCATTACAATGGACTTTTTTCTTAGCAGAACATAACTTAAGCCTAGTTCGCACTACATGATTTTAAGCCCGATTTAAACCCGATTTGCAAATCTTTGAGCTCGCCGGCAGGTCAGGCTGTTATCGCATGCAAATCTCGGGGGATTAGTGGGTGATGAACGCTCGCCAATCTGTTAGTATGAAAGATCTAACAACGCATCAAAGACGCGTTGCCGAGCCCAGAAAAATATCTAGCATGCTAGATATCCAGAGCTGTCAAACGACTCATGTGATGTCATGAGCTACAGCCAATCAGAGCAAGGCATGGGTTGAGGTCAGTATTATTTGCTGGGTATTGGTGCGCGTGCTGTTTCGCGTCATTTTCGCTTCGTTTTATCGCGTGATTTTTCGTGACAAAACATGGTTTGTAGACAAGATAGAATCGTTGGGTGACAGAGTTGTTGTTGTCAACTCGTGTAATGCATTACGTATCAATCACGTTGTGTCGTGTGGTGTGAACAGCGCAGCAACTTTTTTTAATAACCACGCAGAAACATTATTCTCTTAAAAATACAAACACGTGCATGTTGTTCACATATTATGGTAGCCCCGCTTGTGCTATATAGAGTGAATTTACACCTTTGCCACTACACTCTGAATGCACAGCGATGATGCTACTCTGATGCTTGTTTTACTACACGATTATTTGTTAAGCTGAGCTTCTTTCACGTTCAGTAAGTAGCACCTTCTTACTCCCAGAACGGTGCAGATGGAGAGTGTATGTGTATTTACCAGATCAGACTGTAACCGAGCGCTCGATAGCTGCCGTCTCTCTTAATGCTGCCAGTGTTCAGCAGCGAGAGAAACCAATCAGAGCAATTGAGCTAATAATGCGTTTGACATACGCATTGTTTGTCCATCTATACAAAATCACACCTGATTGGCTGGAGACCTCAGGCCTGCGCTTGTCTTGTACTGTGATTTTTACATTGTGAGAGGTAAATAAAGGACATGAAATCAAACGCCTCTCAGCTGTGAGCTCCTGATTGCGTTATTGATGAGTTTAAAGTAACCGGATGCAGATCATGAATAGACTGTGATTGATGCTGAAACATTGCAGAATTGGTGTTTAAGCTAATAATGGAGAGCTAGAAAACTTGATAAAGTCTTGTTTTAGTAATAGTGGGTCCACGTTTTCATTGCCCCAGCATCCCAGTAGCTTTATATTCCATGTTTTTACTGTATATGTCATTTCCTTCTTTATTGATCATAATGCCATGCATACAGAGACATGCGTCCATGACAAAGTGAATCGGATAGCCTGCTCGACCCCTAAGTGCTATGGGGTCGAATGTTGATGGCTTCACTTATGTGAGGTCTATAGAAACAATCAAGTTGCAAATCAACATTTGTTTGGCCTGAAAACGTTATTCCACATTGTTCTGCAGATTTAGCAGTATGTTAATGTGTTAAAGGGATGAGCTTTTTCCTCTTTTACATCTCTTTCTTGAATCATTTGGCATTGTGCTTTTAACGACCTGCGATGCAACATTGATTTTATTAGAATTGTCTAATTAATTTAGCCAATCATTATGAAGTACAGCGGGCTTGTAGCAATAAACACTCGAATGCTAATTAACTGATTCAAGTGAGGTTTTTTTTATTGCTGATTACACTTGTTTTTGTTGCTGTTGCTTCAAGGACTACTACTGATTTTATTTAATTAATTTTAATGAAAATGTATTTATTATTAATTATTATCTGTCTTTTGAGGCATCCTAAAGTGTCGTTAGAATGAACAATAAAATTAATTTTTTTAAAAAAACAACCCTCATCCACAAAGTCCAACAAATACATTTCATTGTCTAATATTCAGTGTTGAGCTCTGAATTTTGATTCACGCAACACTAGACAGTTACTTTTTGTTTGGAACACCAATAAAAGACTAGATGTGCTCTAGATGTGCTTGTGTGTGGTTGCAAGGGTGATATGGGAGGTTGTTAGGGAGATCACGGTGTGTATTTGGGTGATGAGCGGTGATATGAATGGTTCCTATTCTGTGTTCTGGATGGTTGTAAAGCTGATGAGGTAGTTGCTAGTATTAGTGTTGTAGTACTCGAGACTCGGACTCGTCTCGGACTCGGTCTCGAGACCATATTTTAATGGTCTTGGTCTTGTCATGGACTCGTGTCCATTTGGACTCGTACTTGAACATTTTTTTTTTAGGACTCGGAATTATTGTCCACTCGAGTTCAATTCAAAATATTTTTCATGATTATTAATGTCTGTTAATAAAATATTTATTTAAATCGATTGACACGCCCAGTGATTGGTGATTTTCTAGTGTGCAACTGCGCATGACAAATTGTAATAAAATTACTTTTAAAACCACCTACTATGTGGCCTTTTTACCCTAAACTGATCATATTTTTTAAACTCTAAGTAAATTCAGTAAAATAAAAAAAGGATTTCTTTAAGTAAATAAAAGTAAATTAGGTAATCAACCCTCACTGGTCTCGGTCTCGACTCGGATTCGACCGTCTCTGGTCTCGGACTCGACTCGGACTCGACTCTCTATGGACTCGGTGTCGACTCGGACTCAAATGCGGTGGTCTCGACTACAACACTGGCTAGTATATTCTGGGTTGTTTCTAGGGTGATCTGGCTGGTTGCTAAGAGTGATCTGGACAATTGTTAGAATGATCACAACAGATGTTTGGATGATCATAAGGTGATCTGGATGGTTGCTGTTCAGAATTGCTACTAGTGTGATTCATGTAGTTGGTTGCTAGGGTGTTCTGGATGGTTGCTAGGGTTCTCTGTGTGAATTCTAGAGTACGTCTGCCAATATTGGTCAACGCTTGTTTTAGCGCATTAACTGCTACATGTTCAGTGTTTGCCGGTTTGAGAAATGATGTAATTACTGTAATCTAGTGATGGTCACCATCTGCCAATGCACTGTGAATTAGCCTTAAAATGCTCTAGGTGAATGATTGAAACAATAAGATTTATTTTAATAAGATTCCCAACCAAAAAGTACTATAAAGACTTTTTATTTTTAAAGGTTTGTGTGATTTGCCTGTATTATTTCACTGTTTTGTCCTTTTATTGACATTTGATCACCTGCAAAATGAATATTGTGTAGAGCTGCACAATTCTAGATAAATAATGAATCACATTTTTTTTTTTTTTTTTTTACAGAGATCATGATTCTGAATGGACAACTAAACAAAAAGCATGTAATTCACTTGAATTTCTGATAAAATATTAATTACCACAGTCTATGTTGAATGTTTAATTAATCAGAATGAATCGGTTTGAATGAATGATTCAATGACTCACTCATAAATGCTTCACTACTGGACAAATCTGTTTTTGAATGAATTTCTTGAATGCGTGATTCAATGTAATCAATACAGTTGTTATTTCAAGCGGCAAGTTGCTCTTTTTTGAGTTTATTTGAATAGTTGTAACAGAAATAGCGATACTGTGTGGTTGAAAAAGACTGTTTGTGAAGCTGTTTTTATAGCTAAACACGCTAAACTGCTGTCTCTGGGTCAGCAGCGGCAACAAAGCAGATTTGAATGTTGCAGAATGATTGTGTATAAGGTTTAATAGACAAAGGCGATTCATTGTCATTTAGGAATGAGATTGCATTCTTTTAACAATTAATCGTGCAGCTCTAATATTGTGTAATATTGTTAAAGTCTCTCTCTTTCTCTCTCCCTTTCTTGCTGTGACTCCCTTACTGCTCTTCATCTGCTGTGTTCTTTGGTTCGTTTTAACAGTTTTTTCCATCTCTGGCTGGAGATGGCAGTTTAGTTGATCTTAGTTGATGTGAAATGGAGCGCTGTCCATCCTGTCTGCTCGGCCGTTAACGTTACCCATCAAACCTGTCATGTGGGTTTTGTTCATGCTGGCTTTTGCTCAGGACAAATCAGCTGCCTCTTCTGTTTTCGGTCTCAGAGGTAACATTGATTGCAAAAAGAGGACAGATCGTTTTCTCTCCTCGAGCTTCTCTCGCGACGCTCATCTCACATGACTTTTCAAACCGTTTCTGATTTGTGGAACGAGGTCTCTTTTTATTTCTCCTCTGTGGCCTGTTTGAATGAAGGATTCACACCGTCTTCGCTGCGTGTGCGGTGGAGAGTAGAGACTACAGGAGGTTTGAGCTTTTTCAGATTTAGCCCAGCTCAGGAGAGATTTTCCTCCATTTGATATTGTGGTGTTTTTTAATGAAGCCTGTCACACTTTTTTTCTCTTTTCCTGCTTCACCATTCCCTGTCCTCATGAATAGGCTCTCAGATCGAGGATGTTGAAAATTGCCTGTAGCATCTCTGCAGAAA